TAATAAAGGTCATAAGCTGGCCAACCAGCTCACTCGACTAAAAATCATGTTATAATATTTAACAAATATAAACCATTTTCCGTGTTGATATACAGTTATATCAACACGAGTGGAATTAGGAAAATGAGAAATTGTATGGAAACACGACGCCCGAAGTGTTTTCATACAATTTGGAGTTTTCCCAACTTTCACGAGTGTTGATATAACTATATATCAATACGGAAAAAATGTTTTATATTTTTTTTATAATATAGCAATGTCAAAAGCCCGACGGATAAGAAAAATTTCCGTGTTTATAAGCAGCAGAAAATTTCCCGTGTTGACATTGAGTTATATCAACACGGCTCTTAGCCAATCAGCGTTCAGAATTTACAAATGCTATATTATAATACACAATTTGGCACAAGTAAGTAAGAACTTGATTAATATAAGCCTTCTGAAGCTGTTGTCATTAACAAATTAACCAGCATTTCACACAAATTTCTTGACAACAGTTGCCAGGTTAGCCTGGCTCCTGTGAGGCAAATGACAAACTAGCCCTGAAAAGAAAATCCAGCCATGTTTGCTGGGCTAGCATGGCCCATTTTGACAGCCCTTAACAGGGAGAGCTTATTTTTGGAAGGGAGATCTGATTTTTAGAAGGGAGGCTTATTTGTGAGGTTACTGGGGGCTTAATATTGGATTGCATTATTATATAATATGTGTAAAATATTCATTTGTGCTCAGGTATTCTGGTAATGCACAAATTTATGGACTAAAATGTTTCAATTATAGTCTCGGGATCTATTGGGGACCTGTTTATATGATCTAGGCTATCCAGAACACATGCTTGAAGCCTATCATGTTGCCTGTTTGGGATAGTGCTGATTGTATATGGCGAATTTCTTGGCTTACATATAGCCAGGATTCTGGCAATGGAAACCTCACGCTTAGCCAGGCCGATAGTAGCAGGATAGGATAGGACATACTTGCCAATGTCGTCTCCCACCTTAGGCCACCTAGCCAGGTAATATGAACAGGGCCCAATTGTGACTAGTGAGACAGATGAAGAAAAAACAATGAAGTTCATATATATGTCCATAAATTTTGATACCTGAACAGCAACATATTTGAACAAAATCATTCTGTCCCAATGTCATCCATCTTCCTTAAGTTTAGGACTCTGAGACCAATGAATATATTGTCAATCAAGGATTAAAACCAATGAAGACACGTATTATTGTCAAACAAACGAAAATATTCATGTCCACAGGCTGCAACACGCAATGTTGACACATTATCCTGAAGTCAACAAAATGTGGAAATCGACGAAAAACGAGCCAAGAAACAGTTATTGAGCTAATCAATCAAATAAATACTTGGCATAAGTTTGAAGGTCCATAGTCCAAATATTTGATGAGTTTCTTTAGCCCATTTATACCAACAAATTTTAAAAATTCCCTGTATTTAGATATTCGCCATATTGATCGCCACGCTGTTTGGCAAGAAATCGACATGTCAACTTGTCCCGGCCCGGAAATGTCCTGTTTACTTGTTACACAGGATATTAATAAGTTTATGTGAAAATATGAAGATAAAAGTATCTTTTAAAAAATAAAACCTCTCAAACCTCGATTTGAAAGGCTTTTAAAAACGCTAATCCGTTCGGAACCTACAGATTCGAGGGGTGGTATTTAAGCTTACGCAAGGCAAAGTTTGAAGACCCATATCTTCGCAATCACGCAATTAATCAAAAATTGCCACGAGGAAGTTGAGGATAATTCTTTTAAGAACAACATATATGAATTTCATGGCAAAAAAACCAAACAACCGCTTGCAGAAAAGCTCTGAAGTAACCCCATATGTTTGTTTACAAATTTGATGTGATGAAGCGTTTTACGCATTCTGATTGGCTTAGGGCAAAAATGTAAACAAAAGCACTGATTGGTCGAGAACGAAATTCCCCCTTGTTTTTTCTAGCACATTTTGTCAAAAACAAAAAACACACAAACTTAAATAGATATCTTGTCTTATATAGGAACCAAAAACAAAATGAAAATAAGCTTGTACAACGCAGCCTATACAAGCTGAAGTTGTTGCACTTTTTCGACTTCGAACAAAAGACGCCATTTCGCTCAAATGCCTCGAGCAAGAAGCGGGCCAGTGGCGAAACATTGCCCGTACCAATGGCAATATTGATATCATTTTGATCCATGAGAAACCATCTGTCTCCCTATTACCCTCAAATAACCCTCAAGGAAAACGCGCACAAGAATTAGCTCGCGCAGTTTGAACAATTTTACAATTCTCAAATTCGCTACCATGCAAGCTCCCAAAATTATCGCGCGGTTTAGGAAAGATTTGTCACATTTTAAATGTGCAATTTCGCGTGCGAAAATGGCACGCGTGTAGGTTTGTGGGATTTTTAAAGCATTATTAAGACAAGGCATATCATCTTTTTCAAATCTGACATGTGAAAACATAAAAATACAAAATTGCATATAAGCATGGTATAACTATAAGATTGACATTATTTACATTATTTTGTAAAAATGGTTAAAGCAATTACTCATCTCCACTAGTAACAGATATATGTATTAAGATTCATATATATGTATTAAGATTCATATATGTATGTCAAGATTCATACATATGCCAAGATTCATATATGTATGTCAAGATTCATATATATGTATTAAGATTCATATATTTATGTCAAGATTCATATATATGTATTAAGATTCATATATATATGTATTAAGATTCATATATATGTATTAAGATTCATATATTAAGATTCATATATATGTATTAAGATTCATATATATGTATTAAGATTCATATATGTATGTCAAGATTCATATATATATGTCAAGATTCATATATTTATGTCAAGATTCATGCATGCTTTAATGAAGTACTTCTTGACCGTTTAATTCCGCTGACCAAATATTTATGTAAAAAATAATAATATAGCGATTAAAGATGGCGCATTTCATAGATAATCTTAGACAGTTCTTTGAAGAGTTTTTAAGATGTATTAGGGAAGCAGTTGCGGGGCTGAGTTCAGAATACGAACCAAGTCGTGTGGACAGCCTGTTATACAGGCTATCGGAATTTGAAACCACACTTGGATTAATTTCAAGTCGTGTTGGAGAATATGACACTGATGACAGCGTTGATCAGTTGTTGCAAGACCTGGAATGGCTCTTAGCCACTGTGCGTCTTATAAAAACCAGATATCAAGATAGGCATGTTGAATCGAACACCTCTTCCGATATCGAATCGCCACACCACAGTTGTCCTGTTGCACATTTGTTGTTCAGCAACTGCGTGAAGAATCCATGAAATGGGTAAACATTGCAAGAATTCTTGGAATTTCACCCAAGACTTTGATTCGATTTGAAATGCCCATTGGTGCTGCCTTCACATGTCTTGAAGATGGTAATTTAGACGGACATGTACGAGAAATTTTGTGAATAAATCCTGAAGCAGGTATATTTTAATATGTGTAACACAATCCCAGCGACGCCGGAAAGAGGGGGGCACATCGCCACCTTGCCCTTTAGTAAGGGGGGCAGGGGGGGGGGGGCGAAAGTGCCCTTAAATAAAAATTCTATCCCAAAAAATATGAGGTACAACGATTAAAAAGTATGAATTACGGGTGAAATGGACGTCATATTGATATATACGTGAAATTTTCTGGAATATTGTGTCAAAAATTAGGTTAACTTTCAATTTTTTTTCGCTTGTTTTGGTGAATTATGGTTCCGGAAAATTTTTTGCCCTAGTTTTGGTGAATTAAGGTTCCGGAAAAATTTTTTATAAACGAAATATTAATTAGTGATTGCCGTTACGTCAACATTTCCCCCCTGTGCCCTACCGGTCAATCCCACCATGAATGACAATTCTATACGGTTCTATCAATTTATGATCGCCATCAATATGCCAGAGGGCGTTTGGGCAAGGTACAGAATACTTTCGCCTGACAATCTTGAAGCTGTGTCTTCTCACTGCTGAGAGAACGGGATTAACTCGTGCAATAGATTCCCGAACACGATTCTGTTGAATCTTTCATTTCTTTGCTCTGAGCCATCCTTCAACTAGACGAAGTCCTAGGAAAAGCACAAGCGAGTGACCTATATTGACAAGTTCCGTCATATTGTAAATTATCTAACAATCATCTCGGTATTACGTTTTCGTACTTTTAAAGAAAAGCATGCAAATCGGGCGTTATTAGACAGGGATGTTAATTTCATGCTACTTTATATAGGATTATGCAGGGACGCCGGAGCGAGGGTAGGGAACAGGGGGGCAGTTGACGTAAGGACAATCACTAATTAATATTTCGTTTACGAAAAATTTTTTCGGAACCTTAATTCACCAAAACTAGGGCAAAAAAATTTTCGGAACCATAATTCACCGAAACAAGGGCAAAAAAATTTTGAAAGTTAACCTAATTTTTGACACAATATTCCAGAAAATTTCACGTATATGCTAGAAAATACATGCATGTAGAAACCCTCGCCTTGCTGACAAAACCATTGTATTTTCCGAACATGAAGTATCTAGAGTAGTTGTCATGGTAACACGATAATTTTTTAAGAATATTCTTACAAATGAATCGCCTAAAAATATCACTTT